TGAAGAAAGCTCCATATATTGTGAAGCTCCGAACTTCTAGATTTCACGCTGCTACCTATCCGTAAGTACTCCTACCATCCTTCAGAACATACTGAACTTGAGCGAGAAGCTGTACAAGCCGCATTTTCCAGCATTTTGTATGATCCCCTAATGACCCCCAGCGGCCAACCGTCTTCTTTTCGAAGTCATTTTTCTTTCTTCGAACTTGACGAAAAGCTTCTAAAGATGTACAGATTATCTAACCCAACATCGCTTAGCATGTAACTGATAAGAAAAAATGAGTATTGAAGTTGTGAAAATTGCGATGAACCACAAGACGAAAGTTGGGGATTATCGAAAAACTCGATTTCTCGAAAACTCATTTGCTCTTATCAGAACACTAGCTGGCTTACCCGGCTCCGCCCGGCCCTGTCAAAACACTATGTCAAAGAACACTATCCCTATTCCTGCACGAACCTTTCTCTGTGCCCACGCCTACATGAAAAATCAATATTCCCGCTGTTTTAGTAATCAGCATGCTCGATTACCCCCCCCCCCCCTTGTGCAAACTCCCAGCCCCGCAAGTCAAACTTTGCAAAAAAATCGATAAGATCGATAAAATCGATATCGATCGATGACGAAAAGTAGCCTATGACACCCGCCGGGGCCCGAGGTGTATGTGTGCCAAGTTTGGTCCGGATCGGTTCAGAAGTGGAATTTTCTATTCGGAACATACGTACAGACAGACAGACATACAGACAAACAGACATTCAGCTTTATATATAAGACTAGCGACCCTACGGGTCGCTAGCAAGCGGGTAGGGCACACCCATAAATAACTGCGTTTCATACCTATAATTTTCTCAAGTGAATTTTCAATTTATCAGTATATAGGCTGTATCAACCAGCATCGGTCCCGCGTTGGCATGCCTTGCGAGGACGCACGGTCGCATGCGACGTGCCCTAACGCGTAGAAGTGTTCGCACGCGTCAAACCGCACCGTCGCAAGTTGCGTCAAGCGCGACGTCGCATAACCGATGCGGGTTGGCACAGCCTATATGTATTGCCACAACCGCTCAAAAGTAACATTTTCAGAGATTTTTTCAATGGGAGGAAAGTGAGTCATATTGTGCTAAAATTTTGTATTGCCCTAGTCATCGCTGTACAGCTTCCTTTCGCAACGTTATCTCGCACTCATGCTTACAATCTGGAGAGAAAAATCGAATTCACCCGGAGCAAAAGCTCCCAAAAGCGAGATTTTCGAGGATTTTCTCAAAATTTGGCGGAAAAGTGAATCATATCGTGCTAAAATTTTGTTTTGCCCGTCATCGCTGTACAGCTTCCTTTCGCAACGTTATCTCGCACTCATGCTTACAATCTGGAGAGAAAAATCGAATTCACCCAGAGCAAAAGCTCCCAAAAGCGAGATTTTCGAGGATTTTCTCAAAATTTAGCGGAAAAGTGGATCATATCGTGCTAAAATTTTGTTTTGCCCCAGTCATCGCTGTACAGCTTCCTTTCGCAACGTTATCTCGCACTCATGCTTACAATCTGGAGAGAAAAATCGAATTCACCCAGAGCAAAAGCTCCCAAAAGCGAGATTTTCGAGGATTTTCTCAAAATTTGGCGGAAAAGTGGATCATATTGTGCTAAAATTTTGTTTTGCCCCAGTCATCGCTGTACAGCTTCCTTTCGCAACGTTATCTCGCACTCATGCTTACAATCTGGAGAGAAAAATCGAATTCACCCAGAGCAAAAGCTCCCAAAAGCGAGATTTTCGAGGATTTTCTCAAAATTTGGCGGAAAAGTGGATCATATTGTGCTAAAATTTTGTTTTGCCCCAGTCATCGCTGTACAGCTTCCTTTCGCAACGTTATCTCGCACTCATGCTTACAATCTGGAGAGAAAAATCGAATTCACCCAGAGCAAAAGCTCCCAAAAGCGAGATTTTCGAGGATTTTCTCAAAATTTGGCGGAAAAGTGGATCATATTGTGCTAAAATTTTGTTTTGCCCCAGTCATCGCTGTACAGCTTCCTTTCGCAACGTTATCTCGCACTCATGCTTACAATCTGGAGAGAAAAATCGAATTCACCCAGAGCAAAAGCTCCCAAAAGCGAGATTTTCGAGGATTTTCTCAAAATTTGGCGGAAAAGTGGATCATATCGTGCTAAAATTTTGTTTTGCCCCAGTTATCGCTGTACAGCTTCCTTTCGCAACGTTATCTCGCACTCATGCTTACAATCTTGAGAGAAAAATCAAATTCACCCAGAGCAAAAGCTCCCAAAAGCGAGATTTTCGAGGATTTTCTCAAAATTTGGCGGAAAAGTGGATCATATCGTGCTAAAATTTTGTTTTGCCCCAGTCATCGCTGTACAGCTTCCTTTCGCAACGTTATCTCGCACTCATGCTTACAATCTGGGGGGAAAAGTGGAATCCACCCAGAGCAAAAGCTCCCAAAAGCGAGATTTTCGAAGATTTTCTCAGGATTTGGCGGAAAAGTGGAAAAGCATAGTGAGTACTGAGATTGGATGTGAGCGTATCAAATGGTAGGCTTCTACAACTAACTTTGCAACAATGACCAGCTCGCAATTTCAACACTCTTGGCACGCGCTTGCGTCTTTCAACACACCCATTGCAGCAGCAGAGCGGACCCTGCGTGTCGTGTCCTCTCGTTCGCGCTAGGACCTCTGCGTCCTCTTGACCTCATGATCGCACCGTCGCGTCTCTACACAAAAAGGCCCCGTTCTGCAACTGGCGTCTATTCAAAACACCCGTTGAAGCATACATGTGGGCGGACCATCCTCGCCGTCTCGTTTTTTTAGATCGTGTTTATATTATAGGAGAGGATGACATGTTTGGTTAGATGATCAGCTGAACTTTGGCACATTTTCATCAACTCTGTAGAGAAAAAAAAATTTTGAAGAAAAGACGGTCAGTCGCCAGGGATCATCAGGAGATCATACAAAAAGCTGGAAAATGCGGCTTGTAACAGCTTCTCACCTCTGTGTAGTATGTTCATAGTCAAGGTTGGTAGGAATACTTACGGGTAGGTCGACAGCGTAAAATCCAGAAGTTCTGAGCTTTAAGATATGAAGCTTTTTTGGAGTGATCCCCGTCCCTTGCGGTGATGTTAATGCATGCGGCGTGAGACTTCATTTATCCCTTGAGAGGAAGCTGAAGATGTGTTTTCGAGATTTTGCAACTGCTCTGGTCTCCACCTTCATATGAGAGACCCACGCTGTTGGTTTCTTCAGAAATATTCATTAGGCTATGAAATGGCGAACAGTTGAACCTCGACTTGTTTTGTTTCAGTGGTTTTTGGAATTTAACTGTGTATCTTGTAGATTCCCCCCTCCCCCTCCGCCACTGCTGAGAGCATACCTTCAAGTAGTTTTCAACCTCATAGTTAGTTTCTTATCTTCATAAACATATCTAATCGCAAATACGAGTTAAGCTTTGTTAGTGATTACAGCCACTGTGTGCATGGACCTTGAAAAACACGGCGTATAAGGAAAACTTTTGCACTTTGGCTTTCTATTCAAACACCTTCAGGATCAAAAAGTTAAAGCTACTGAAGAGAATTGAGTTTATGTAGGGTGTGATGTAGCCCATAAAACGCACTCGTAAAAATCTGCATTTTCCTGAATCACAACCCACCTTAAGTTTATAGGTCCATTATATCCCAAGTCTAGCATATAAGCCTCTCAGCAGATGACTGTCTAGAAAAAAGCCCATTTGCAGATAAGGCAGTTTTGAACTCGAATGATAGATTTCGAACAGGTAGAACAAAAAGACTTATCTGTTGGTCGACCCGAATCTGGACATTTTCTCGTTCTCCTCTAGCACATTCACGACATTACGACCCACCGGTGGGTCGTACGTGCTCTGCCATTTCGGATAATACGACTCACCGGTGGCACAATACGATCCACAAGACCCTTTTTAAAGTTTTCGATTTTGCTAATTTACGATGAAACTTTTTTAGTAAGTTCAGTAAACTTCCATGCGCACCACTTGAAATATTTCCAACAGATCAATGCTCAAGGCTACAGGACCCTTTGTGATCAGAAAATATTACCCAAACTCAATTTTGCGAAATATGCCCTGATCCGAAATGGCAGTCTTCGAAAATCGGCCTTGTCGTGAATGTGCTGGAGAAACGGCGGACTTAATGTGAATTTCAGAGAGCTTTCGAACTGCCACTCCATTAATAACAATGACGAGAAGTTAACTTCAACAACTAATACTTATATGCAAGAGCATCGACATTATTCTTGTGCAATAATGAGTATACGAACTTCGTAGTTCGTATTGTTCTTTTCTCTCTCTCAAGATATACAAATTCATTACATTCCTGTAGTTTAGTAATACTTTGCCAACTGCACAGCATCGATGAATTTAGCAGCTTGCATCGTTTTTGTTATTGGAAGAATTCGCAGATGTTCGCGTCAGATGTGAATTGCTCAGGTTTTTAGCTAACAGTAGGATGTCACGCGCAGCTGTGGCTTGATATGTGATCACGCATATAAGTAGCTGACTGTGCACAGTCAGAGTTATTCACATGTACGACTCTTGCTCATTTGTTTTAACATTATTTCACTCGTATATTTGTGCCTTCTTTCAATCATATCATTTTTATTTGTAGTTCATCATTTAGTAATGTATTTTGTTATTTGTTCTACCCGTGTTTGTTGTTATCTGTTTAATCGTGCTTATTGTTGCTATTTTGTTGCTAAGATAAAGTTTAATTACCCAAGTTTGAGGTGTGCTCGTGCGTATACGAGGTCCCGCGTGGCAATACTTTTGGTAGTGGTTTGGTATTCGAAGTCTTATAGTTCTGATATATCCCCACCACTAACCAATACAAGTGGTGCATCGACCAAATCAAGAGGTACTTTTTATTGCAGAAGATAAAGTGTGTCTCGCTTGCTTTGCACGATACGCTTTGATTGTTGCACGATAGTGAATCACCTGCACATACTGGAATTGCACGGAGTTTCTTTTTGACCTGCCTTGCATAATGACAACGACAGTAAGAGCGTACAAGGGACTTATGACCAAACGAAGCCAAGTCGCTCTGGCATGGTTGGAAGAATCCACACAGCGTCTACAACACCTGAAGGGAAAAAGCACACAAGAAGAACAAGTCAAGGAATTCACTATGACTGTGGCGAGGTGTGAGGAATATCTGGAACTTCTCGAAGCATCCTTAACCAAACTCACGGAAGCCTTCGATAAACTTCAGGATACCACGGACGAAGAAGAAAATCAGTTAGACAAGCACGCGGAGATTGCTCAAGAGACTATCATGAAGTTATACGCACACAAATCCAATACCAAGCAGATGCTACAAGAAATAACGACGGCAGCTACGCTCCGAACAAGTGGAACCGACCACCAATGTTCTGCAGCAGTCAGCAAACTTCCAACTATACCCATTCCAACCTTTACAGGAAAAAAGTGGGAGTGGGACAACTTCTGGGCCATATTTAAAGCCAACGTACACGACCAGGATCTAACGAAATTGCAAAAATTCAACTATTTACTGTCAGCCCTGAGTGGGGAGGCGAAGCAATCGATCTCGCGATTCTTCGTATCAGCAAACAATTACGAAAAAGCCATACAGCACTTGGCGAAACGCTATGGCAACAAGGATGGCATTATTCTGGAACTGAACAAAAGCCTACACAACTGCTTGGCAAGAGGACCCACCACCGCAGATCAGCGTCAATTATGGGACAAACTTTCAATTATTGCAGCGCAACTAGAAGAATACGAGCAACACCTCAGCAATCAAATAACAATCCAAATCTTTCTCCAGAAGTTCCACGTACGCATCAGGAAAGCAGCTATGGAGAAAAGACTCAAACACAAAGGAGAAAGCAACAGCGAGTGGACATTGGAACAATAGCTCGACGCCGTCGATGACATCATATCACAAGAGGAGCAGATAAACCACATGCTCTCGTGCGAAACACAAGCAAGAAATCATCCAAATCCCAACACGATGGCGACGAAAACACCCTCAGGACCAACCGGCAGATGGAAACCAAGCAACCTTTATGAATGCTGTGGAGGTAACGGACACAGGTGGATGAATTGTTCGCAAATTCCTACAGCAGCACAGAAAAAAAAATTTTTGCTTGACACTGGTAGATGTCTCAACTGCGGATCGATTGATCACAGAGTAGCTTCATGCCTTAGCGGCAAGTGCCGAAAGTGCGGCAAAAAACATCATACGGCAATATGTATGGAACAAAAGCCGGGCGAAGGCGCGCAAAATCGATCGGAGCGAAGTCAACAGAAGAGAACAAAAGTACCAAGAACACCCAAAAATCAGCCGAAGACGTCAGCAAAACCTTATTGTTCTTCGAAGCAGCATGTGGTAACGGAGTCAATCGGACAAGACACTCACGAAACAAAACAGGGAGCAACGGAAAGTGCCGAAACTCCAACAGTACTACAGCTCAAGAAAGAAAATGGCTGGAGACAGAACAGAGTAGTCCTACTCGCAGGAGCAATCCAGGTACTCGACACTGATGGGAACAAAAGGGAAACTGTCGTCTTGCTGGATACAGGTTCAGAGCTCTCTTTTATTGGAGAGGAGCTTGCGAACGAGCTCAAGTTGCCAACATTAGGCACAGCCTCTCTCGAGCTCAGTACGTTTGGGTCACCTGCAGTGAAGACAAAAACGTGCGCTAAAACCGTTTTGAAGATGCTGGACAAAGAAGGCACACAACACGAAGTACAGCTGTATAAGAATGATTATATTACAAGATCTGTACAACGAACGAACCTCGACCCCGAAGAACGGTTCATCAAGGAAGGAAAGTACGATTTGTCTCTGCCTGTAGAAGGTGGAGACTTGCGGCCACAAATCCTCTTAGGTTGCGATTACCTTTGGAACTTCATGGAACCTAGCAGCAATTTGAACCTGCCTCCGGGATTGCACCTGATACCGACCAAGCTAGGATATATCTTTAGCGGTCGACAAGGATACACGTGTCAAAGGCTGGCGGTAGCATGCACACTCCAAGGACATGAAACTGAAAAGGAGACATGGGACCGCTACTGGTCTTTGGGATCCACCGGTACGGAGGAGTACACTGGTCCACAAAAAACGGAGCTCCAGAAAACAAACGAGAAAGCATTGGAAAATTTCAAGGAGTCCATCGAGAAAAGGGAAGACGGCTATCACGTACGCCTACCATGGAAAGAGAACCATCCCGAACTCCCAGATAACAAGGCGCTAGCAATTAAACGTCTTGTAAAGATCCTGGAGATATATCAAAAGGACCCGAAGACACTACAAGCGTACGACAACATCTTTAAGGAACAACAAGAGAAGGGAATAATAGAAGAAGTAACATCGAAGTACGTTGATGAAGGAGAAGTAGTCCACTATTTACCGCATCAGGCGGTAATCACTCCCTCTAAGGAAACGACAAAGATGAGAATCGTCTTTGACGCGTCAGCCCACTACAAAGACTGCCCTAGCCTCAACGACGTACTCCATCAAGGCCCTCTCATCCTCCCGGATTTGGTTGGAATTCTGCTTCGATTCCGAATGCACAGTATCGCAGTGATGTCGGACATCGAAAAGGCATTCCTACAAGTACGACTGCAAGAAAAGGACCGTGACGCCACCCATTGTATCTGGGTCAGGGATATCTCACTTCCACCCACGCCGGATAACATAGTGGTCTACAGATTCACCAGAGTTACCTTCGGACTCAACGCTTCCCCCTTCCTGTTAAGCGCTACGATAGATCACCACCTAGAAACCACAGCAAGTGATGACGACATGGCCCCGGAAATAAGAAGGAATTTGTACGTGGACAACTTATTCTTTGGTGCACAATCTTCAAACGAAGCACTTCTGAAGTATGCACACACAAAGAAGCTCTTCCAAGACCTCAAAATGAACTTGAGAGAATTTTGCTCTAACGATAAAACCTTCTGCAACGCCATTGATGAGGCCGACAAGATGAAATCCACCTCCCCCAAGGTCCAGGCATCACATGGAATTCGGAAACGGACAAGTTCATAATCAAAGGCTCGATGGCAACCTTGAAGGGAAACGACACCAAGCGAACAGTCACACAGCAACTTGCTTCGGTGTATGATCCAATGGGACTTCTGGTGCCTCTATTACTACCGGCAAAAATATTCATGCAGTCATTATGGAAGGAAGGATTAGACTGGGACACACCGCTTCCAGCGCAATTGCGTGATCAATGGCATCAAATAACGTCAGAAATCTCGACATTTTACAAGGAGGTGAATAGACGAATTCTCAACAAATCTGATGGCCACAGACTTGTCGTCTTCACTGATGCTAGCCAGTGCGCAATAGCAGCATGCGCATATCTCACCTCTCAAGAAGAATCCAACATCATAATGGCAAAATCCAAACTCCCATCTATCAAAACTTCAATGACGATTCCCAAGTTGGAGATGAATGCGCTAACGCTAGGCGTGCGAATGTCCCACTTTATCTGCGAAACTCTGGAACCACTTTGTAACATCAAGGAGGTAATCCTCTACACAGATTCGGATATCGTGTTAGGATGAATACAAACTCCTCCATCACGTCAGAGCGCAGGCGTTTTGGTCACAAACCGACTATCAGAGATAAGGCGAATCAGCAATGACCTCCGCGGTCGAAACACGACATGCCTCTTCGGACACGTCTCAACAGCAGAAAACCCAGCCGATTGCGGAACCAGAGGACTATCATCGGAAGCGTTTCAAAATCACTTCTGGTGGACGGGACCCAGCTTCACGAGCAAGCCAGACCATTCTAAACTGAACGCAATCGAAGAATCAGAGACGACGATGATGCCATTGGAGACGGTGACTTTGGCAGTAACAGAAAGAACATCTGAGAAGAAATTAGTCGATTTAACCAGATTCAGCACCCTCGAAAGAGCTCAGAGAGTGCTAGTCTACGTTCTGCGTTTCATACACAGATCCATAAATCATCTACCTCACGAAAGGAAGGTTGCTGTGCAAGAGCACATACCGGCACTCAAAGGAGTTTCGATGTCGCAGACTATCACGGGAGTCGAGATGCAGGAAAGCCGAATGTGCTTAATTCGCGACCACCAGAGAATCTACGTGGACGAACACCAAATTAAGTCACAAAATGACCTGAACATTCAACGAAACGAAAGAGGAGTTTTACGCTGCTATGGACGCATGCAGCAATCCGATGTACCAATCACAGCAAAAACACCCATCTACATCGCACCTAAAACAACTTTGGCACGTCTCATCATCTCAGAGGTCCACAATCACTATCATCGTGGAATCGCCCACACAATGGCTACCGTACGCGAAAAATACTGGATACCTAAGCTCAGACAACAAGTGCGAAGCCTGATTCAAAGATGCGTCCCATGCCAAAAGATGAACAATCTCCCATTTGCCTATCCCGACATGGAAGCGATGCCAGCAACAAGGGTACACCGCGCACGCTCGTTCGAACATATAGGATTGGATTACTTCGGACCGTTGACGACCAGTGACAACCACGACGGATCCAATAAGGCATATGGATGCATTTTCACATGTCAAGTAACAAGGCTCATACATTTGGAGCTCGTGGGCGACATGACCACAGAAGCATTCCTCAACGCGCTTCGAAGGTTCTTTGCAAGAAGAGGAGTACCGCAAACTATCACTTCTGACAATGCACCAACATTCCTGTTGGGGGAGCAAATCCTGAAAGACGCCACAGAAAATATGGTCAACAGCACTGAAGTAGGAAGCGAAATAGCACGGCGAGAGATTAGATGGAACCATATAACGCCTTATGCACCGTGGCAGGGTGGATTTTATGAGAGGCTTATCCGCTCCATCAAAAACTCGCTGTACAAAACGCTTGGAGTGCGAACCATCACTTTTGATGGCCTCAGGACTATGCTCACGGAGATAGAAGCGGTTTTGAACTCACGACCTCTAACTTATCAAGAGGAAAAATTGGAAGAACAACCAATACTTCGACCCATAAACTTCATTCAAAATAAAATGACTCTGGATTATCCTCTGGAGTACATAGGTAAAGAAGGACAAGACCGAATTTACCACACTGCAGAAGAAGCACAACAACTAGCTACACAACGTCAAACTGAAGCGGCGCTGAAAACATCTGTAGACTTGACTGAAAAGTTTTGGAAAGTCTGGACTGAACAGTACCTTACGAGCCTGAGAGAGCAGCATAAAATTCGGATGAACGAGAAGCGTGGAACAAGAAAATCGCCAAAGGAAGGAGATATCGTACTCTTGTGGGACGCAGTACAGCCCAGGAACACATGGAAAACCGCACGAATCGTACAAGTAGATGAATTTCCTCACAAGGCGACGCGAGAAGTCGTCGTGGAAACGCCAAACAAGCGACGCTTACGACGACCTATAAATCGAGTGGTACCTCTAGAAATCGACAAAGAAGAGATCGCGAAGACTTCCTTCCCATCGGAGGCACCAGCTACTCGATATAACCTCCGTTCGAGACGTCCTACCAATTATAATGAACAGGAAGAACAAGAACCGACGCGCAGAAAAGCCCCAACCTTCGCCTCATCCGTAACATCGCTGCTCACGGTAGCTCTACTTTCATTGTGCGTGACGAAAACAGCGGGATCAAGCAGCAACGGGAGCTACCAACTCCAGTGCATTGAAGGGGGAGTGTCTCTTCTGCAAGCAAATCGACAGCCCTACGAAATTTGTGCAGAAGACTTCTGTACGGAATTTAAAACGCCGCGGCAACAGGAAATAGTAAGATTTCCCCCACAAATCACTCTGCACGAACAACTCGTCAGATGGAAAATCTTCGACGGTGAAGACATTCACATAATGGAGACAACGTGCAAGGCAGCACCGTTTTGCGAACAGATAGACTGCACCTTCTGCGCAGTGATGGTGAGCAATCCAAAATGCTGGCCACGCACGGCTATACTAGTCACCGGATTGCTAGTATACTTGGCGATAACCATGTGCTACTGCCTGTTCCACGTGCCAGTGCTGCTAGGAACACCGATACTCTATGGACTAAAGCTGGCAGGAATGTGCGGATGGCTGATGCTCAGGTCACTATGCCGATTGCTGAAAATCGCAGCAGACACTGAACGACGAAGAAGAAGAAGAGCATGGATGAGAGATGTTGTTCTTCTTACGATCCTCTGCATTAGTGGACTAGCAGCCGGATGCCAAGATGTTGAAGTGTTAACGCACCAGACGCAAGCATGCACTCAATCTGGAAACGAGGAATACTGCACCGTCGACACCACAGAGATACTGAAAATCAATCCATTCAAACAAGAAGCGTGCATGAGACTTACGAGTAACCATACTAGCGTTTTGGAAATCAAGCTGGCTTGGAAGAATCTCAATCTGGTTTGCGAAAAGGAAACTCTCCTGTTCTCCAGAAGCACTAGATATGCACTGCTGGATAGCAAACGCTGCCCTCATGCCGGATCATGTACAGGAGACAAATGCGCAGGGATACAACGGACATCGAAGGTGAAAGAACTGCAGCGAGTCAACGACTATCCGGGTGTCACTGGATGTGTGGAGAGCTGCGGAGGACCAGGTTGCGATTGTTTTTATCCCAGCTCGGGATGCCTATTTTACAGGATATACCTTGTTCCAACGGACGAGAATGTGTACGAAATCTTCAGATGTCCACGTTGGAAACAGTTCGTACACTTAAAACTAACCGTAAGCGAACAGGGTTCAGTGCAGCACAGCCACGACTTCCAGGTCATACCGAATCAACCAAAAAGTATATCATCGTTCACTATAACCTTATCATCACTGAGCACACCACCTACGCCAGCCTTGAATTCGATATTTCTCACAGACGGAAAGCGATATGCCACTGTGGAAGCACACCAGGAACCTCCGCTGGTATGTAGGACATGGGAAGATGCGCAAAACCTCACCTGTGATGTGTACGAGGATTGCAAATGTGCCCCAGCCGAAACAAAAATGATGTGCGATTGCAAAGAGGTAAATCTCACTTCCCTAATTAGCACTCCACAACACCGATTGCCGATTATACGTCCTAACTTGGAATTTCGCACTATCGATGAAAAAGTCACAGCTCGGATACCTCAACCCGACAGCAGAATTCACACTTCGAATGAGGAGCAAAGTTCGCATTACAGCATTACGATCCGACGATATCTGTTCAGTGGAGAACGCCTACAGCACAGGATGCTACAACTGTGCTAAAGGAGCGATAGCAGTACTAATGTGCAGAGCTTCAGTAGCGGCAACAAAAGCTGAGGTCGAGTGTGAAGATAGCCTATTTGTTATCCCATGCAGTCAGGAAGGGACGGAGACCAATGTCACATTCGTTGCTGATAAAGCGCAATTTTATCGGAACTGCACAGTGCGATGCGGAAAGGTTCAAACTACATTCGAGATCTCAGGTATCCTACACTACACGGGCAACTTATATATGGCGGCGAGGAGAGTTCTACAAGGCGAAAGTGAATTGTTCTCGGAGATAAACTTACCAGACTTCTCGCATCTGGCACAGACATTCTTGATGTGGTACTGTATATTAGGAGCGACAGTATTGGTAGTGATCGTTGCCTTGGTAATAACGTACTTCTACGCCTCCAATGCTTGTGTGTTCTCGATCATTAGAGCCTTCTGTGGATTATTCTATGCACTGGCTAAATCGGCATATCGAATGTTTCGACTCTCCTGGCTGTTACCATACCGATTTCTTCGAATGCTCTTTTCACTCAGGAAGAAGAAACCAGAAGAAAAGGACTTGTGAGATTGCCAGAGACTACAGCCACAGCGAAAGCGCAGCAACGACAAACTAACCCGTCCCAAACTCGTTGGTGAGGCCGGAGTATACGAACTTCGTAGTTCGTATTGTTCTTTTCTCTCTCTCAAGATATACAAATTCATTACATTCCTGTAGTTTAGTAATACTTTGCCAACTGCACAGCATCGATGAATTTAGCAGCTTGCATCGTTTTTGTTATTGGAAGAATTCGCAGATGTTCGCGTCAGATGTGAATTGCTCAGGTTTTAGCTAACAGTAGGATGTCGCGCGCAGCTGTGGCTTGATATGTGATCACGCATATAAGTAGCTGACTGTGCACAGTCAGAGTTATTCACATGTACGACTCTTGCTCATTTGTTTTAACATTATTTCACTCGTATATTTGTGCCTTCTTTCAATCATATCATTTTTATTTGTAGTTCATCATTTAGTAATGTATTTTGTTATTTGTTCTACCCGTGTTTGTTGTTATCTGTTTAATCGTGTTTATTGTTGCTATTTTGTTGCCAAGATAAAGTTTAATTACCCAAGTTTGAGGTACTGGGCGCGCAGTGCAACAAACAATCAAAGTCCCGCGTGGCAACAAACAACAACGTACAGTCCGATATAAGACACCGAACCTCCTTACAATGAGTGCGAAAAACCAACTTTTAGGAAACATGAAGGAATATAAACTACCCTAAAGCCTAGCATAAGCCCCCTTGCAGATAAGTCGCCCTGCTGGATAAATTCGCCCTTCCAATAATCCGTTTGGATGAAAGCCTTGACAACGTGCAAACTGCTTATCTCTTGTGATAAACGAAATTGTCTGTAAAGACTTACCTGAGAGCTAGTAGAGCTTTCTTGAAAAGCGGACTCGCTATATTTGCTATTAGAGAAAAAAGAGAATAATCAAATTTATCGGAAATAACGTAACATTGTCAGTGAACCAGCCGGTGGTGCACATTTATAAGGTGTTCAGTAGTTGATCTTTGATCATTTCTAGGAGTAATCAGGAAGAAAACATGCCGTGGTTTGATGTACTTGCGAAAAATCCAACCTTGAGACCTTACATGGTAAGAAAAAGTTGACCAGACTAGGTATGCGGGGAAGAGACGGTTGGAGAGCTTACACTTTCCAGGAAGCTTGTATGGATAGTTCAAAAAGTGTCTACGACATATTTCACCGTCATTTTTGTCTATCAGCATACAGAAATTCAGACCATTTCCTTCTTTTATGCTTTCATCTGGACAGAAGAATCGCATAAATTGTGTTTGCTCAAAAATGAGGTGTGAAATTAGCTGAAAATGTCAAAAAAGGGCCTCAAAGGTGAAACTTCAAGTATTTCAAGCTTATTCCTGCAAGAACACCACCAATTTGCACATACCACCGAGATTTGAACAAGACTTATTAAGTGAATTGAGTAGAACATTAATTTTATATCCACTATTTTTTTATAAGTTTGCAATCTGCGAATTGTGAAGGCAAATAGTGCATTGGCACCAGCGGCTGGCAACTATCGTTCCTCTTGCATTACACCCTAGCTCACCACAAAATATATGAGGGTGCTCGGGAGACGGCCCTTCTGAACCCACCGTTCCCTACAGTAATCTAGAACTAGGACGCGCGCGCGCATGCGCTGCGATGACTGCGGACGAGTGCTCCGCGAAGGGCTCGTATTTTCGAAAATCAGCAACTCTTTTCGTGCGGCTCTCGCATTGTGGAATGCAAGCCAGTCATGCTGACCTTCAACCAAACACAGCTACCATCCTCTGAATGTCTGGTATTCTGAGCCCTACTTCCCAGCAGGTATGTTTATGAATTATGAGACATTTTCGAAGTCTTTTCATTCACATGATTCATAAAAAACTCATGAATCTCCTTTGAATTCTTTCGGGACTTTGATTTTTCTTGCTTTTTTCCCACTTAAATCCCTTGTGTGTGCGATCCTTATGACGTCGTGCATGGTCACATCATATTGCTAATGTGAGCTGCTTGATGTTATTGAGGAAAGCCCACGTAATCAAAATTTGTGTAACAACTCTTCATAAAGACCAATTATAACTTAAATTGGTGATCTACGCTAATTCGTTATCAGATGCGTATTTCCTTCTGACCAGTGCAGCTCTGTAGCTTTTCAAAGAAATTATCATCTCCTCAAAATTCTCATTCTAGTAAAGTTTACGAACGTGCATTTGATATTTTTAGATATAAAAAGCATGATGCGTGCAGCAAAGAAAAGGTCGCTACCAAAATTAATCCATGTAGATCATGCTACCAAATGAAGGTGATGCATTTTTACTTGATTGCGTTTTTGATATGGACGGTGTGAAAAAAACTTCATACACATCATAAAAAAACGTATGCTTCCCTACTGGCATGCATGTAGTGCACATTTCAATTGAATGTGACTAGATGATGCTGCAAGGAGGCAGACGTAGGAGAGTAGAGCATGCAATCGAACTAAAAAAAACAATAGTAAAATAAGTCGAAAAAGACATTGAAAATGTCTCATAGATCAAAAACATACCACCTTAGAAAGTGCCCGGCGATTTAAGTAGTGTGGAGTAGAGCGAATAATTAAGTTATTGAATTCCAGGGAATTTGGGGAATTTTACAAGCGATGGTGAAACTCGTCCGCCTCCGCAGCGCGTCTGCCCAGGTCAGCCGCTCGCTTCCGCGAGTTAGCCAATCATGGAGTGACCTCTAATTAGCGCTGACCTCTTATAGCCGTCGCGATTGGGGCAGGTTCAGAAGGGCCTACACCCAGGGTGCCCCACAGTTTTTTACCGCTTTTACCCTAAACATCAGCATTTCTTGAGAAGTGGGGCACCTACAAAGGGTACAAATACATGATCGTACTTGTGTATATATGAGCTATATGATAACTTGCGGGGGATGAGCTCATACGTCTAGAGGCGAAGTTTGCCAATTTACTCCATTCAGTTTTTTCTTCGCCATGGAGAAATACGGGAAGTGTACAACTGAATGTTCGATGTGTCAGCATATGCTATTACAGATGGGAAGTTTCTGGAGTTTTTAAGATTGGGCCGGAGATGGATTTTGCGGTAAACTTCGTTTTTGAATGCAATCAATTTCAGCTCAAAACTTCAGGTATAAGACGATTTGGACAGACTCTTGATAGCCGCCTCGTAGAGCTGCTTGTTTTGCCCTGTCGAATGATCACTCAGCCACATAAATTAAGGGATAAAGAAAGACGACGGTTGTAATAAAAACGACAAGAAATTATGCTTTCTAAAAGATACGCGTTGAAGAGATGTCAATACAATGTGAAGAGGAAAAAACGTTTCACTATCTCGTCCCTCTACTTTTATTTGGTATTTCCACAGTTTCGATACCTGCAAACTACACCCGAAACATTCAGCCCTACATCTATCTTACTCTGGTCTCTTTGATATCGGTTAGAGCTTAGAGAAAATTGCCTGCTTTTTTGAGGTCGTAACTTGGTGGCAACCTTAGAAAAAGTTTGGAAAAGCAAATCCTCAAGGACCCACAGGCGGATCAGCCCATACTGTGTAACGCTCACGCTGCAACAGCGATATTTTTTTTTATCAAAAAACGAAACGCAAACAAGAACATGTTCGATTTTTCCTGAAACATATTGACCCACGTATACACGAAAAGACTAGGCGCCGTTGCGTCTGGCCAAGATGGTTCGTACTTGGAAGAGAAAGCAGATGGAAAGAGGAACAAATGAGCGCTCGATCAGAGAGACACCGATATGTCCACAGTCTTTGCGTGCTATGAATCGCCTATACACAGTCTGGTGAATTTGATTTGTGAATATCACTTAGTATATGTAAATATTACTCAGTGAACATTACTTACATTACTTACCTTACATTGACAACGATGGCCATAAGCTCTGTTGCACAATAATTTATTCGAAAGAGACTTTGAACAATGTATAACAAAATAAATACGGTTTCAAATAAAAAGGTCGTATAACAATTATTTTTCTGGAGATCTGACACCCGGATCTTATATTATGTTGTTAGAAGTGAAGATAAATATATCCAAGTAGTCAATGCATATAAGAGATTTCAATCTCATGTCATTTATGAGAGTAACGCGCTACTAGAGGAGAGACTCGACAAGTCACACAACCAATTACCACAGAATTCAAGGCGATCACAGGCAGGGTAGTATAGAGGACGGATACAAGCAATATATTCAGTGTTGACTAGTGAGACTAGAATTGTTCCACAAGCGCTTCCACGAGATAAGCAGAGACAGTATCCTTGCTGCTTCGGATAGTCAAGCGATACATCTAAACAATACCTCAGATCACCTGCGAAGAAAACTCTGTGAATACATACCTTTGCTTGTTTATTCGGTTCCAAACGGATGAGTGTGCCAATCTGTTGTGTTTGGGTGTGAATTATCCCCGCACAAACATAATTGTCGGGATTTGGATCAACATCAGCCAACAACTTTGCGCCTAGTCCGGTGAGTCGCTGCGTGACCAAGGACGGCTCCATTGACACTTTGGCCGGGAAGATTTTTTGACACTCTTGAGAAGGTTGTCCAAGTGCTTTCCATCTAAAACAGAAGGTAATCATATGCTCAGTTGTACTAAAGGTACTTCTTCACCTCGCAAAGAATTGATCAGACGGCATTTCCGTTGGTTCAAAAAATTTGTTGACAAAGACGGGCAGATACAACGACTTATCAAAGTTGTGAGCTCGGCCTGCTTGATCGCTGAAAGTGGTCTGTCTACATCCAAAAAAAATCTGTTGATAGCCTGGATTCAAGAACTAACGCATAATTGAACTTCAAATGAATGATGGGCATCTTTCCAAATTCCTGCACACAAACAAAATTTATGAGTTGTTGGACTTGCGTTCCAGCTTGTATAACGGGATCAATCGGCTTAGCCTGCAAAACTTTTATAACAGAAAAAAGAAACGTATATCCAGTTCTATTGCAAACTATATTAACATATTTTATATGTTCTCTGATCATGAAATTTGGGCATTGCCTTGTATTCATGAGCTTTGTGGTGAGCCAAGCAGGTTTGTTAAGATATTTATTAGGTAACGTTTCGGCAATAACGCCTTCCTCAGAGTCCTGAAAGAAAGTCTCACACTAGTTTTTTGCCCTATATGATCAAATCAATCAAGTCGTCATTGCGCTGTCGGTGGAGATCTTGGTATGCTACCTATCGTATAATGTCTTCGCTTCTTTGCTCCTAAGGCATCAGTAGATTAGTCAAGAGGAGAGATTTGAACAGGCGGCGTGTCATCATCCTCCCAAGGCCTGCCGCCTTTCTAAAATGCACGTAGGCGACCACCCAAGAGTAGGTCGCGCAGAATAGTGTTAACAGGTACATATGAACATGTGTCAACCATAACTCCGATTTTATACGTGAAAAGCGAGAGAAGATAAGAAGAGAACTCCTTATTGATCCACTGAAGTTGCAATAATCACTGCAAGTCACGACGACATGTTTATTGCCAGAATTCAGAAGATGCCAGCTCAAAGTCCATTTATAACTGCGCCAGCACAATATTCACAAGGAAAAGATACTTGGTGACCGTAATCACTTGCGAAGACTCCACATTTATCGTTGAACGCTAACTGCAAATCTATGTTTATTATCTGCGAGCTTTCGTGAAGGAAATCATAAGCATTTTTGGCAGAATTGCATAACTCCATGCAACATTCATCGGTATCGAAAAATTTCTCTGCTTCGCGCTCTAACATCATTAAGGCAAGCAATTTGGTAGACGAATGTCTGAGAAAAACGCCTAGTGATAACTCGGTCCCTCAGCAAAAGCTTTGTAGTATCGTAATTTTGTTCAACGAACAGATAAGAAAGACAGATTCTGAATGAAAATCCAAAAGTGCATCTTATAAATAACCCTTCATAGATGGTCATGGTCACCAAGTACACTTTGTTAGTCTTTATTTACGAAATTCTCATGGTTGCCCCGATATGATTTAGACTAGTATACTCAAATGAATAAGCTGTGATTATTTAGAGGCTTAATTATCTGGATCAATTACCACTTCAAAAAGTCATGAACTTTCGTCTACCCAATGAGAACCTATCTAGAAATAGATGTCATCCAGAAAAGATGTCCTCCCCCCCCCCCCCTCCCACTTATTCATCAATGATCCAACTTATCAAACGTATTTTCATTCTATCTCATTCAAAGCCCATCACAGTTTGCGTAGTCTCAAATAATCTTTACCCGTCTTATACCTGACTGAACAAGTTTGGACAGGTCATTTTAACCCTCGGGTCGCCTACGTGCAAATCCGAAGGGCGGCACCTCTTTGAAGTGCGAGCGTCGGGAGGATCCTGCACGCCCTCCATTTGAACATATAGGGCAAAAACTAGTGTGAGACTTTCTTTCAGGTCTCTGAGGAAGGCATTATTGCCGAAACGCTTCCTAATAAATGTCTTAATAAACCTGCGTGGCTCACAACAAAGTTCATGAATACATTAACGTATTTGACCGCGACTGACTACCTTCTCAACAGCTAATCAAACGTACAATTTTCTCATTCCAGATGTAGTCAAAGCAAAACTGCCAAAAAAACCCAAAAACTTATTCCATTTCCTCTATGCTCGTGCTTTTCCAAATAAAACGACCATTGGAAATTAACAGTTGCATTTAGGCAAAAAGTCCGAAGTTATTTCTTGTAAACGGCGTCAGAAGCAATAGACCACAAATGTTGACTACTTTCTAAGATTTTGCTACTACGAGCCAACTCTTGCAAATTGAATAACATCGAATTTAAGATGATCAAAACCGTATTGTACTGCGAAGAAAATCAGGTAAAAAAAACGTATACCGTCAGCGCATATTCAATTTATTTTATCTTCTAACCTGCGCTTGTAGCTGCACGGCGAGTACTCCCGGACAGCTGACGACGGGAGTGAAGTCAGTGAAAGGAGCAGATGTTTTGTTGCCGTAGAACATACCCAATCTAGCCAGATTGGTTCGCGCTTCAAGTTTGCAACCAATTTGAATCACATCGTCCTCGTACAAAACACCGTTGTTCTTGACTACAAACCTTAAAAAAAGCGAAGCATCACTTTTCCAGTACTGCAAGATAGGGACAAACTTGAGGTAATCGTGTTTGTTTGCTATGCTTATATCATCTCCAGGAGTCGGAGAGGCAGCAGAGGCTTGGCTTGGGGCTTGCGCACCTGGTTGTCCAAATATATCAACGAGTGAGCTGTGAAAGTAAGAATGAAGAGAGGGTGAAAGTCTAATATCTGTCTTTTACTAACAAGAAGAAATTACCTGGAACCGTTATTTCCTGGTTGGGAAAAGTCAACGAGAGTGGCGGAAGTAGTGCTGTCCTGAGCAACCGCAAATCAAAGTGTTATGAGAAAGAACATTATGAGCATTACCTTTGCCGTCAAACTCGGACGAGTCTTCCTTTCTTTCTCAACATTTTCGAGCTCTTCAACTTGTGGTTTGCTCTTCTTTAGCTTGGCCAACAAGCTGCTTTCTTTTTCAGGGAAAGGAGGCATTTCCTCCAGGATCTGAACAATAAGAATAATCACACAGTGGGATAGAACTTGATTAACTGAAGACTCACCGTTGCAAGAACATCAGGTGTAGCCACTTTGCTCATTTGTAGGTATTCCACAGCGCGCTGCTGCAGCTCTGCATCGGGGTTTCTCAAGTTGTGGTCAGTTTGATAGACCTAGAAATAAAAAAAATATCATGCAAGCAGTAAGTTAAAAAAAAGTATGCAGACTAGATACCTGCTGTATGATGTGCTTGATTTCAGGAAAGAGATTACAGAATTTTACATAAGTAGTCAAGAGCAGACAACGTGTTGCGATGCTACAAAGCGGAAATTTCGAATGTAGCAACTCAAACTGGATTTGAGGACTGAAAACGATATCTTTGGTAAGCTGAGAGTTTGCAAGTCAATCCAATTTCACCTTGATCTCTGATCGCCAGCTATAAGATTTCCAAATTCTCCTAGAATGTAACCACCCACTTTAACCATATTTTCATGACAAGCGGGTCTCTGAGATGAATAGTTGATTATATTCGAAGAAACAAGAAAATATAATCTTTTGGAAACCTTACCTGCAGAGCTTCAAAGACAGTCTTTGCGGCATAACCTTGAACGTCCTCACGGTTTACAACTATCTGAACTGTGAATATAACAAACTAATTGACCTAAACGATTGCCTACCTGTATGACTCGATACCAGACTTCTTCTGATACATAGTCACCAGCTATTCGAATCAACTTGAGAATAACGTCGACATACCAAGTGTAGTCAGTTGCATATTTCTCAGCAAGTATAGCAACTTTCAGGACCTAGAATCATCTTTTAAGCCAAAAAGCTAGCCTTTTTCCAACTTCAGATTGCTTAGACAGTTGAAGGTGACACAGATTCAAACTGACCATCTCTTCCCTGATAGAGTAGTCGGCGGTTTCGAGGTATGCAAGCATTTCCGAAACGATTTCATTTGCATTAGTTCGATCACACATGGCATACAACAAGTCAACAGCACGTTGGCGCACCGAAACGTCCCTTCAAATAGATAACTTTTACTACGGAATGAATCTGGCATCAAAAACTACCTTTCAGTTTTGAGACTGTTGATGATTGTTTCCTGGTGCTTTTTTACAGTCTCATGTGAAAATTCTGATGTAGCTAATAAACACATAGATTCCAGCGCAAGATACCTCAAAAGGCAAAGCTAACCGTAATTCGAGCTACCATTTCTCCGTAGTACTCACCGAAGATTTGTTTCTCGATGAGCAAGAAAGGTTCCTAATTGGTTGCATGCGCGAACAAGGAGATTTGCTTCGCTGTCCATGTGAATTATCAGAGCAATTGCTTCGAACAGTACTGCATTTTTAGCATTGGAATGTTGAACCTAGACAGGATAGAACAATCATATACAAAGAATAGGCAAATAACAACCTTCTTTGATTTCGGAGCATCTTGTGCCTTGTTCAGTACACCTTCAAGACACTCGAGCAAACGAGCTTTGTTCGATGGGTCTTCTAAATGTGAAGTGCAATATAGTCACTAAAACTAAGCCAAAATCCTTACCTGGTGGAGGATAATTCTGAAGCAGACGCAGAAGTTTCACACACAACCAAGGTGCTGGAACAAAGTAGTAGGTGTAGTCCTGTAGATCAGTGTATGTGGCGGTAACAATCCTACTCAAACGGGAGATTGCGAGAGGAACACAGCCCTCAAATGTACGTTGTGTGACTACATCACTGTTGAAACTTTTTATAACTCACTTTGTATTCATCGGGCCACTTCTTAGAAAGCGATTCAATTAAGGACGCTGCCGACGTGACAACTCCCTCAAGATGAAAAGGAAAGCTCAACAGCAAACTCATTTCTACGAGGAATTTACCATGTGCGAATCATTGAGCAAGTGAACTATTCTGCTCGCGTATTCACCAGGCTGTATAATGTCAGGAGCAGTGCGGAAAAGCTTCAAAAGGCATAGAGCAGCAGACTGTTTGACAAAATCGATGGTGTCTCTAAACAAGCTCAGATGACAATTCACGGGCTCGATATGACAAAAAGCAGAAAAAGTTGACTACGCAAACCACTTCTAGGGAGATGAACACTGACATCTTGATTTGCTGAACAATAACTACGACACTGCTACTGATAAGAAAACGGCAAACGAGGAGAAAATGAATGTCTTAAGTTACTAATTAGTTAATAGTAACTTGTAAAAAATCAAAGAAAATAAACAGTATTAAGGCCGAAAAGAAAGACGGTAAATGTCAAAAAACGAAGAAGGCATTGCGGAGACAACCTTACCCCGAGACAAGAAGCTTGGGTAAATCGCTTGCGAAAGCTTCAGCCATGTCTCGACTACCGATGTTGGAGATGCATTGTAGAGCGAGGTTAACGTGGATTGGATTGCGAGAAGTCAGATCGTTGCGAATGGCCTGCACGATCAGTTTCATCAGATCGGAGTTCTGCTCGATCAGAACAGATATAAACAGGTAACCCTGAAACCAGATTTGACATTTTCTTTTGGGGGTAAGGAAATAAAAAATGTTTTGAAGTGGGCCCACGATCTGCTTCTCGGTGTACTTGTTTGATGATAGAAGATTGACGGCTTCCATATGACCGAAATCGATATCGTTTCCAAGTAGAAAAATGAAGAGTAATTTGCAAACATATTTCTTCTTTTGATATCCATCCAAAGTCTTGTCGCCTGAAAATATAGAAACTCCACCAAATACGCTTGGGAAGTGCAGTTTCTAAAAAAACTGAGTGGTATTGCTTTCTGCAATTGATTCCAATCATAGAGTATATATGATGCACAAAAGCAGCTGTGAAACGATTATACTGAAGACGACTATAGCGATTATACGGAATGCTCAGCAGAGAAAATAAATTCTTAGATAACTATCTAATCGCTCGTCTCCATTGATTGCTCATCACTCACAAGGAAGATTTGCAAATCAATAAAAGCATTTCAATGCTTTTATTGATAAGATCGAAAGCAGCTCTGATTCCCATGCATTCCATAGATAACCACTTGTTTAATACGTATTGAGTGAGTCTTGGCCAAAATACCTTTGAACTTCGACCTGATATTGGCCAGCTCTTTATTTATTCGCTTCATTTCAGCTTCCTTGCTTTTACAGTTTCGTATGTCCGAAATGAAAACGGCCAATCCGCGCATACCATCTCCCTTCACCGCAGGCATAGTGCCTGAAAGTAATTATTTTGAAGAACAAACTATGAGCGCCAAAAAGCAAAGCAGTGGTAAATGGGAAGTAGGAATGAGGTATTGACTGGAGATGATTCTAGACAGCGATATATCGTTTTCAAGAGCAGAGGTCATGAGCATGCTGAAACAACAACGGGATCCAATCTGCAGCGAAAGCATTGAGTCAATGCCATAACGCGAAGTCGGAAATCGATAAGCACTTGGATGGTGGTCGAGCAGTCGCGAATAATCACAGACAGATAGTTGCATGTGTTTAACAGCCAAAGTCAGAGGAAGTTCATCCAAGCGAATTCAACCCATTCAACCAAAATCAATAAGGCGACCTCAATAACGGTCTCGACAATCATGGCGACTTTCAACTTGTCGTCCGAAATGTGGTGTGTGTGCTTGCACGAATGCGCGATGGGCTCGCACTAGCCTCTGTCATTTATTTACAGTCGGCATTGGTGATGCGAGATAAACAGACACACGCTTTCACCGAATTGCACTGATTAAGCTTTAGGTGGTGTTATTATTTGCGTAGCCACAGCATAATGAGAGCGTTAAAGGCAGCGTCCAGGCAAGTCTGGACACATGGGGGTCTCTAGTAATTTTTGGGGCCCTAACTAAGCCACTGCCCAAGGCAGCTCAGATAGTGTCCTAACGGCTGAGATAATCCCCTCGAAACTGGACCCCGCGATCGTATTTCGCATGGATTCATGGCGCAAAGAGTGGATTGAATACGATCGCGGGGCCCAGTTTCGAGGGGAATATATATCTCAGCCGTTAGAGCACTACCTGTGCTGCCGCTTGGGCAGTGCCTTAGTTAGGGCCCCAAAAGTGCTTTCCACATAAAAACCCCATAGATCCAGATCTTCCTGGACGCTGCCTTTAAAGAAGAATGTAGTGGACTGGAAATTTTTTTCTCTTCCACAGATTGTCTGTGAATTGTTTGTGCCACATACATCCTGTCCCACAAGACCAAGGGAATTGAGAAAGAGAAGCATCATCGCGCACAGTGAGCGTTTATTGACCGCAGTCTCCCCTCCTCCACGCCTTCGCACTTGCGATCGAGGAATTCCCTAAACATGTCGCAAATGGTTAGTGTTCATTATTTCAGCCGAAAGTTATTTTCCGGTGAGTTGTGGCAGACAGAAGTACTGGCTTGTAAAAAGAATTTCCTTACACTTGACTAAAAAATCTTCATAGACTTCCTGGAAGAATTTTCCTTGTCTCAAAGCCATGTGGATTGTTGCAGCCTTTCGTTTTATACATGTCACACGTAAACAATCATGTTTTAGAATTTCCTACAAAATTTTCCGAGTTGTTTTTTTTTGCAGATTTGCGACTCGCGTTATTGTGAAGTTAGAACTTCTTACCGCCTTCGTATCAGTACTGATGCTTCCGAAAACCCATAATGAAACTGAAAAGGTGAAAAAAAAGAGTTTGAGTTGTTTTATCAAATATGCTAAAGAACAGGCTTTGCCAAGGTTGAAAAATTTTTCAGAGAAACGAAGAAAGTGTAATAAAGCATGTATACTTATATCACAACCTGATAATTGTATGTAGCTCTACGACATTGGAAACAATATCCGTGTGCACATCCTTTGATACCAAATTAAGAGAGATCTGACCCCATGGCTCCCTCGATGTTTGCGAGCTTTCTGGCAGTTCTCATCGATACCAATTTTTCTGATATGCAAACAAAGCATTTGCGCAGTAAATCACAGCCCAATATGTAACGAATAGAAGGTAGGATAGCAGCAGACATTAGGTGCAAACAGAACTCACTTCACTAGCTGCAAAAAATCGATAAAATCGATATCGATCGATGACGAAAAGTAGCCTATGACACGCTCCCTGCCCCGAAGTATATGTGTGCCAAGTTTGGTCCAAATCGGTTCAGAAATAAAAATATCTATTCCGCACATACGTACAGACAGACATACATACAGACAGACATTCAGCTTTATATATAAGACCAGTTCAAAGCGCCGCTTCGCGGCGCTTTAAACTGGCTGTGTGTGTGAAGTAAGAAGTGATCAAAAGTTAGAACCTTTAGAGCATTGTCTTCATTTCTTTTCGTAACCGAATGTGTAGCATGAAGCCTTCCAGGCAGTAGTTCATGTGAAAAACACCGAACATTAGTATTTACTTCCTTGCTCTCCTCAGCAAACTTGTATCCTCGATTCGTTGACCGCACAGACTGGACATGACTGCCGAGCACGCACGGTAAAACGCTTGCCCCAGTACAAATTCGCCATTACACAAATCGTGCTCTCGCAAAATTTCAGCCGCTCCGCGCGCGATCCGTAGCGTTTGAGTAGCCCGTGCGGTCAGCGAATCGACGACACTTTCCTTAGCTGAATTGGGCTTAAATAGCTCTACGCCACATGCTACCTTAGCTCCACCAAAATTTTTAATGCTCGGATTTTTTTTGGGAAATGTGCCACCACATGTCCGTGCGATCCACAGGCTTCTTCTAATCGTGCCATAGCACCCCTTGTGCTCCCCCTTTTCGGGTTTTGCTAAAACTGCTTACTTCAAAGTTTCGCATGAGAAATCTTTACCCTTTGCCAAGTAGCGCTTTACCGAGTACCACACAGAATTTGCTGGCCAAGGTGCCGGTCCCGCGATCACCTGTTGGATCCCACAGTGAATACTACATGGGAAGTCCCTCTAATCTCCGCTCTCAATGAGCCAACTGCTCATGACATTTTCTACCAATTTTTCGAAGAAAGTCTGGACTTTCCGATGTTCAGATTCTAACCATCTTTGATTCGAAGTTCAGAAACTTCAAATCAGATACCATAATACCTTCCACCAATTTTGCAAAGAAAATTCGAACTTTTTCTGTTGTGATTCTAACCACCGTTTAATTCACAAAACTCAAATTTCCTTCTTTTGATGCTTACGATCCGATTTCCGCTGAGAAATTTTCATGCCAAAATACTGTATTTCCCGTTTTCCTTCCGGGCCTATCTAGCTTGTCCCACTCGCTTTAGTTTCAATCAAAGCTTTTTGAAATCCCCAAAAGTATAGCGTAATCCCTTCAAGCATGCACAATTTCATGCAGAAAGCACTGAAGAGTAGTAACTTAGTCCCCAGCTCTTTAGCTCGCAGGAAAACTCTAGAAATCCTTAGCTCGGGCTCAAATAGCTGCACGCCCCATGCTGCGTTAGCTTCGAAATCCTCTCAATGCTAGAAATTTTCTCTGGGAAGTGTACCACTAACTTCGACTGCATATCAGGTTTCTTCTATTCGTGCCACACCTTCCTCTCTCGCTCCCTTCCCGCAACATCCACCCCAACCCCCTCCCAACTCCCCCGCACCCTCCTTTGTACGAAACACCGTTTATCCTGCCTCTATATGTAGTTTTGAGCGAATCTTGCTTATCCTTTTCGCTGCCCCCAACCCTCATTCCCCATTAGTTTCCTACTTCTACGAAGAATGGAGGACGAATAGATCACGAATGAAATAATCAAACAGCTTCCAAAGTCCTTTTGTAAAAAAAATTCTTCTATTCTAAAGCTTCTTCAAAATAAAAATTCTTCAAATATCTCCACATTTTTCTTTTCTGTCTTATCTATCGGGTTTTCCTTTTACTGACGCTGCCTTACTCGCAATGCGTTACTTCAATTTGCTTATCGCAATCCCTACAGCCCTTTACAGAATACCGCACAGAACGGCTAAAAAGCTCCAATACCGAAGGCAGACAGCCTGATGGCAAAGATCAATGTACAAAAAAGGGCAGTTTTAAAGTGCAGGTTCATGGAGCATAGTGGTAAACAATCAAACGTGGCACGAACAGACCGACATTGACGTCAGATGGGGGTGCCTGCGCTTTATTAAAGAGTACCAGTCCGAAGCGCCGCTTCGCGGCGCTTCGGACTGGCTATGTGTGTGTAGTGAGATTGACTGTCAAAGATAGAACTTGGGAACCTTTTCTTCAAAAGTATGGCATGCATTTTTCAGACATTTAGAAACCCAGAAATTACCAAATTTAATTGTGAGGATCTTTTTTGCTCTATGTGGTTTCCTAAGTATTAACAAAAGTGTCAACAGAATTTCAACCGCTTCCTCCCAGCTTTCCAAGTAGGTATGCTCTTGCGCTTTGCAAACTTGCGTATTGCTGTCTCCTGAGTTCTTTGAGCCAAACTGCATCCCCCTCTCCTCCCATTCTTTTTCATTTAATTTCCTTTATGAAACTCCCGAACTACCAATCTTTTCTGCCATTCCACATCCTTCAGATCTTACTCAATCGCTTTCGAATCTTGCCCCAAATGTGCTGCTGTTGAGAAAATGACTGCGCCTTTACAGTCCCCCGAATCAAGCCAAAATTGGCATGTTGTGCCGCGCACGCCAAGATTTTCCGTCATGTCTGCTGTTTGCTTATAGTGGTTAGTTGGGACCTGTCTGTTCCCACCTTTTCTTTAAACTCCCCTGCAAGGAAATGCAGGGCAAGCCCTTAGCGTTTTCGCGCGGTTTTGAGGCAACGTTTTAGCGTGATCACCTTTCGACAAACTTTAGCTGCCAAAGTGGCTCATTCACCATTTTGCGAAAATCCTCGGATACCCTCAAATTCTCACATTCAGAAATTTTTTGACAAAGTGGCCGTCACGTCACAAACTCGGCAAGCTTTTCCCAGCTACAGCTGTGTACATTCCTCCTCTTTTCACCCGGGGCCCTGCTCTCCTCATCGACTGTCCCTACGAACTACCTTAACATTTCATTCCCTTTAGATCTTTTGGGCCCGTATGTAAACCTGGGGTGAACTAAGCGATGTCCCCGGTCATGAAACCGCGGGCGAACATCGCTGCAGCTCAAGCCAACGTTCCAACTTATAGTTACAAAACCTTCTGAATCAAAGAACATCCCTTTGGAAGCTTGCTCAGAGTCTTTTCAATTCAAAAATTCTAATTCCAAACTCCCGTTCGCGTTCTATATGGGCTTTTCAAATTGTTCAACACCTATGATAAGCCCAACTCCAGCGTCTACCTCAATTTCCAGCTCATCTTAGT